TATGTAGATACGACGGCGACAGCTTCATTGAAGGTGTTCGTCGGTTTAGCAGGCATGGTCCAAGAAGATTCAGTTATAATAGATCTAATTATTATTAGGTTTACGATTTGGGGGTTTCAACTGAAGGTTAGTGTTGTATCTTTAACCGGATTAAAAATCTGGCACATGGTACAACTATTATTTTATGGAGTAGAACAGGATAGGTTTATCCATGTAGCGAAACACAACAAGGGTATTGTAACTATTTGTAAGTTGTGTTTTTATGGCTGTATCTTACTTTTATCAATTGTTGATAGACGGTTTCTAGTAAATTAATGAATTTATCTTTATTTCTAAAAAAAAATGAGTGATTGCGAATTATAACGTGAAAGTTTTACTTTTGAGTTGATTCCTCTCTTTTTGGATTGTATTCTCACCATTGCTTCCTTTTTTTTTGGTCCAATAAGGAGTATGATTATGTCCAATTAATCTTTGATTTTTGTTGTTGTTTTTTCTCCCCATTACTCTGGTGATTCAGTTTTTAACACAGTTCATATATATCCGATTCCGAACGATCATTCCGATCCGAACAAAAGCGTCCAAATCCAGAGCTGCTCGGTTCAAATTTCACGAATGCAAATTTATCTAGTAGCGCGACTCAATTGTTGGGCAAATTATGTGGAAGATTGCAAATATGATTTCCAATACATCACTTTTGTCTTTCAATAAATATAGGAAAAATTAGCGTTCATACCCAAAGTTTTGGGCTCAACGTTAATTCATCTTATTGGTTTCTGGTTAGTCAATTTTGTTCTTACTGTTTGAAATTTTTGTCAATTCCGCCTAATTGGCCCAATTTTTGTTAAAATTAACGGATTTCCGTTAGTTTTTAACCAAAAAACATTTCGATAGTTTCATAAATTATAAAAATAACCCTAAAAATATAACAATAACAAAATAGTCCCTTGTTATTATTTTTTATTTCATTTTATTTCTCTTTATTACTTTTCATAACCATCAAAATATACTATATGATCTTTAACAAAAATTATTTATTTTAAAAATCTATTTTTCATGTGCAACACATATGATTTGGGTAGAGGTGTAATTTTATTCATTTTAAATTTTTAAAATTTTTAATTTTATTTTTTTTATTCTTTATTTTTTGAGATTATTTTTCTTATATTTCCCGACTTGTATATATTGATACAAGTATAATTATTAAATTTTAATAATTAATTTGCTTTTTATTTCATAGATTATAAAAAAATTAACATAAAAAAATGAGGAAGAAAAAATCAAATTGAAATAAACATGAAAATTAATAGTTTATCATTCTAAACAGAAATCGAAAAATCTTTTTTTTTTAAAAAAAAAACTGCAAAGACAAGTCTTTCCTCCTTGACTTTGTCTAATTCGTAGGTGAGTTACGAAACATAAATTTTACTTGATCTAGCCTAAAATAATTATTTTGTTCGTTGTAATAAAAATAATATAAAAATTAGACAATCATTTGAAACATGAAAAGGTACTAATTTAATTAGTCCACATCGATGCATTTCTGTAAATTTGGTTAAAACTTTTTTTATTCTTTTTTAATAAATTTTTTTTTTGCCGATTGGCGGTTGCTAAACTACATAAGCAATTGTTGAATTTCATGAAAAAGATGAATGCATGTAATTTTTAGCAAGATAATTACTAAATTATACTACTTGACTTGTATTATTTTTATTATAAAGAACAAAATAATCATTTTAGGCTAGATCAAATAGATTTATGTTTCGTAACTTACCTATGAAATAGAGGAAGTTAAGGAGAAAACACTTGTCTTTGCATTTTTTTTGAAAAGTTTTTTTTTTTTTTTTTGCTTTTTGCTTAGAATGATAAACTATTAATTTTCATGTTTATTTCAACTTAAATTTTTTCTTCCTCATTTTCTTTATCTTAAATTTTTATAGTCTATGAAATAAAATATTAAATTAATTATTAAAATTAAATAATTATTCTAGTATCCATATCTACAAGTCAGGTAATATAAAGAAAAAAATCTCAAAAAAAAAAAACGAATAAAAAAAATTAAATTGTAAAAATTTAAAATGACAAAATTACGCCTCAACCCAAATCACATGTGTTGCACATAGAAAAATAGGTTTTGAAAATGCTTAATTATTTTCTTAAAGATCATATAGTATATTTTTATGGTTATGAAAAGTAATAAAGAGAAATAAAATAAATAGAAAAAAGTAAATAAAAATGGACGATTTTATTATTTTTATATTTTTAGGGTTATTTTTTTAGTTTTGTAAAACTATCAGGGTGTTTTTGGTTAAAAACTAACGAAAATCCGTTAAGTTTTACGGAAATTGGACTAATCGAGTGGAATTGACAAAAATTTCAAACAATAAGAATAAAATTGGCTAACTGAAAATTAATTGGGTAGAACTGACGATGGGCCTAAAATTTTAGATATGAACGCCAATTTTTCCAATCTATGAAATAGTAAATTTCATGAATATAGCATTTTTGTCCATAGATGATAAAAGAAAATCAAATAATTTTTACTTTCCCTTTTCTGAAAAAAACCCCAGCCACTACTTTTTCAGTTTTTCTTTTCCCACCAAACACCACAAATCCCATTTTGTTTTCTTATTCTTCTTCGAGTATATTCCTACACCATCAGCATCACTATCATTTCCCTAGCTATCCCATTTTTCACATGGAAACACTTAATTTTAACTTTCACAAAACAATTCTAACCAACACTGACCTTCACAACCCTTCCTCTAATTACAACACATCCTCATTTTATCTTTCTATCAATATCACCGTTTTAAGACTTTGATTTTTCTTAGTACAATGAAAGAGGCGTCTACGTTTATCAGAAAATAACTATGTATGTTTAAAAATCACGAGTATGAAAAATGTGACACCAACATATATTTATTTTCTTTTTAAAAGCATATAAAATAGTACTACCTCCGTCGCAAGAAAATAGTTCACATTGAGTTTTGAATTTTGTATTATTTTTAGTATAAATTTAAAAATTCAATGTTGTCTATATTTTGAGACGGATGGAATACTAATTTACTTCTTATTCTCAACCGGTCAGTAATTAGGGTTTTTTTCCCCCAAAATTTGGAGGACTTATTTCCTTAAAGAACCAAGTCACCATCACCAACTTAGAAGTCACCAGTCACACCACCAATGTGTGTAGTTTGATGGTGATTCGCGTAGTTTCTCAAGTGAACCAGAAAGTCCAAATGGATGAATCCTCAAAACGGAGGCGCAGCCAGACACGCGTCTCCTTGTACGTGTGGTTCAGTGGCTTTTTAGGCCAAGGACCGCTAATTTTGCTCTCTACTCAATCAAGGACTTGTATTATTGCTTCCACACCATTCCAAAACCATTACTTTTTTTTTTCTTCCTTTTCTTTCTTTTATATATACAAAAAAAAGAAGAAGATAAGTATCATATATTCATAACTAACGAAACAAAAGTGAAATTCGCTCTTTTAGTATCACAATTAAAAAAGAAAAAAAGTTTGTTGAACCAGAATTTATAACTTATAATAATTAATAAATAAACAATTTACCGTTACCTCCTCTTTTCTTTATTTTTTCTAATCTTGTTACACTCAGATCTCTTGAACAATCGCAAATGTTGTTGGATTCTACTTTTTACTGTTTGATTTCTACGATGAATGACCTAATTATTGGAGAAAGTGAATAAACGAGAAGGAAAAAAAAAACATAAAAGCAAAACAAAGGAAGTGCAAGTTGTCTCTTTCTAAGTGCTTTTTTGTTCTTTACTTTGGAGTAAAAAACAGACAAGTGGCTTCTCTTTTTAGTTATATATCTATATATATATATATATATATATACATATATCAAAAAAAAACTTTCTTTAATCAACACTCCTGAAATAGTTACTCTCTCAAAATATGTACCCTGGCTCTTCAAAATTAAAATATCGACTTTGTTTTCGAGGAAAACAATAAAAAAAAAAGAAAAAGAAAAAAAAGAATTCGGCAACATGCATGAATGATGCTGTAAATTTGCTACTTTGATAATCATTTTCAAAGAAATTACTCGTTCCATTAATAAGTGTCGTTCTACAAATTGCACACAGTTTAATAAATACTTAAATAGGTAGTAAAATTACTTGAATATCCTCCTAACCCACTAAAACAATTGCTCACCTATAATATTAATTATTTTGAGGGTAATTTTGAGAATTTTAGACAAAAAATGCATTGAAACGTGAGAACGACGCTTATTTTGAAATTTCTTTATTTTGTTAAAACGACACTTATTTTAGAACGGAACGAGTAGTTTTACTCAACAAGTATGTGATGCATTTATTGTACGATCTAGAAGTTGTTTGATGATATGTATATATTTAAAGTAAAGTTTCCTAACAGCATCATTATTCATTACCTGCTTTTTTTGGAATTAAAACTTGTTAAACGCTAACTCCGCTAACTTTGTTTAGCTCAAGTTTTCTTCTTTCCTCAAAAAAGAAAAGGGTGGCCTCTTTTAGGTTTTGCTTTTTAATTGATTTTTAAGTATTCCATATACACTATTTTAGGAATAATTGGCTTCATAAGTGGGACATGAGAATATTGTTGTATGCTTTACTAGCTTTTCTTTTAGCCATACTTTATATTATTTTAGTTTCTAATTAAGAAGTGCGTAGAAAGTAAAACGTAATAAAATGGTCTTTTTTTTATGAAGAAATATATATTTTTTTTCTGGTGAAAGTGATGCAATTTTTTCATTGTACAATCAACAATGGAAGTACGTATAATTTAGAACCACATATTGAGAGCCGTACCCTAACCAATTTTTTGTCATCATGGTTAGTACATCTTCTTAGCTAAGAAATACACAAATGTTGTCACTCTTATGACTCTATCAATGAATGAAGTACTAATTACGATTTACCCATAGTTATTGTCTAAAGACAACGTTAAAAATGCATCATTATATTTAAGACTTTAAGACGTAGATTACAATTAACGAGTTTGACCAACTTCACTAAATATACATTGTTCATTCTCATTTTGTTCGTTATTATTATTACTCCCTCTAACCGGAAATTATTGTCCAGTATGAATTTTTGATACGAATCTAAACTGGACAATAATTTCGGAACCCATAGAGTATTTTTTTCGTTTTTTGGTTGAGTCGTTTTCATGTTCAAATTTACCTTCTCCAGAATCTCACCATTAAAGTAAGCACAGACACAATCAAGCAGAAAATGAAAGGTTTTCCTATCAAATTCCCCCCATTAACAATTTTGCATGGCCTAGCTTCAATTTTATGAAAAGCAGCCAATTGCATTGGAGAAGGTGGGCTCAGAAGCACCCACAACTATACACGTGTGACTCCCAAAGAACACTCCATTTGGCTATTTAACATCAAGGTGGTTTCTTTCTCTTCTGCTTAGATTCAATCAAAAGGGAGTTATAAAATCGCCTTCAATATCGGGAGACATTTGTTATTCACTTTTAGAGCTTATTTCACCGCCCAAATCCTCCTCCCATCTCCATCTCCTAACAACACTAAATTCTTCTCCAAATTAGCTAGTTAATTACTAGAATAAGAAGAAAGAGGAACCCGGAATCTCTTGATCTAGCAAAGGAAAAGAAGGTAATTAGGAATTTTTATTATCGATTTATAATGCTTAAGGTTGCGCTAATTGTTTTTCTTCATCTGGGTCATAACTAGCTTGATATAGTTGTGGTTTGCCTAGGAGATTATTTCCAATGATTAATATGCCCGGTCAAGAAAGTGTTGAATTAATTGATTGTTGCTCTTGTTTTAGTGTTGCGATTGTGAATTCAGTTTGATGAAATAATCTGGAAGAAGTTAATGATGATGATAATGCTCTGTTTTGTTGATGATGGTGTGCGTGGAAAGGGCCTTTTTTTCAGAATTTTTTGGCAGGATTTGAAAGAATAAAGAAAATCCTGTGAATGCTGACAAACAATTTTTTGTTGCAGGAAAACAAAAATTACCAGAAGAAGCAAAGATGTTTATTGAGAGCTTTAAGGTCGATAGTCCCAATGTGAAGTACAGTGAGAGTGAGATTCACTCTGTGTATAACTATGAAACTACCGAACTTGTTCACGAGAACAGAGATGGTAAATACCAATGGATTGTGAAGCCGAAGACTGTTCAATACGAATTCAAGACCGATGCTCGTGTTCCCAAATTAGGGTAATCCGATTCTAAACCGAACCCTTTACTTTATTCTTGATCAATTTGTTTGAATTCGGAGGTTTTATGCATGAAAGATGGTATCTTGTCATTTGGGCTGACTTTCATTCAAGCTTTTTAGTTTGGAAAATGACTAATGACCTATCAAAGATGGTATCTTTATGGTTCATTAGTTTCACTCTTCTGGTTGTTTCTTAAATAGGGTTATGCTTGTTGGTTGGGGAGGGAACAACGGATCAACTCTGACTGGAGGTGTTATTGCAAACAGAGAGTAAGTCTTGTCATCTTTGTTGTTTGTTAATTGTTAACAAACATGTTGCGATATTGTAAGATGATGTGTTTGTAGTCCTTATGAGGCAATTACCAAATATCTCTGTCCTGTATGTGTAATTTCTTCTTTGAAAAAGTGTTTTTTTTTTTTTTTTTTTAGCTTTCTGTTTGTCTTGTTCCAACTGATGTGAGATTTAATGGATTTTTTTCAGGGGAATATCTTGGGCAACTAAAGACAAGGTTCAACAAGCAAATTACTTTGGTTCTCTGACTCAGGCATCAACCATAAGGGTTGGTTCTTTCAATGGAGAAGAGATTTATGCACCCTTCAAGAGCCTTCTTCCCATGGTATTATGGCAAAAGGCCTACCTTTTTAAATGTGTTATTACTGATTGTGGTTTGATTGTTGGATGATGTTAGTGATGGGGTTTTAATGATTTTGATTTGACTGTGAATAGGTCAACCCAGATGACATTGTCTTTGGAGGATGGGACATAAGTAACATGAATCTTGCTGATGCCATGTCCAGGGCCAAGGTCTTGGATATTGATCTCCAGAAACAGTTGAGGCCTTACATGGAGTCCATGGTACCGCTGCCTGGTATCTATGACCCTGATTTCATTGCTGCGAACCAAGGGTCCCGAGCAAATAATGTGATCAAAGGAACCAAGAAAGAACAAGTTGAACAAGTTATTAGGGATATAAGGTAGAAGTATCAATGATCTTGGTTTAAATGATGTGATGTTTTGTTCTATGACTGTGTTTAAACTTTTGGAATGTGTTTTGGTTTTTGTAGGGAGTTTAAGGAGAAGAGCAAGGTGGACAAAGTGGTTGTCCTGTGGACTGCAAACACAGAGAGATACAGCAATGTTGTTGTAGGGCTTAATGACACTATGGAAAACCTGTTGGCTTCAGTTGACAAAAATGAAGCTGAGATTTCTCCGTCCACTTTGTATGCCATTGCTTGTGTTCTTGAAGATGTGCCTTTCATTAATGGAAGCCCACAGAACACTTTTGTACCAGGTAACATCTTAATCTTGGTTGAACTCGTCTTAGCTGAACTTCCTATCCTGCTCAATATTCTGACAAAAACGTTGTTAAATTTCTCTAAAAGGTCTGATTGATTTGGCTATCAAGAGGAACTGCTTGATTGGTGGAGATGATTTCAAGAGTGGTCAGACAAAGATGAAATCAGTGCTAGTTGATTTCCTTGTTGGAGCTGGTATCAAGGTATATATCTCATCCTCTGAGTTTAGAGTTCTGCATTGAGATTAGAAAACAGGATCCTCTCTAACTGAATTATTTCCGTGTAATTTTCCTTACAGCCAACCTCAATTGTGAGTTACAACCATTTAGGAAACAATGATGGCATGAATCTTTCAGCACCTCAGACATTCAGATCCAAAGAGATCTCCAAAAGCAATGTGGTGGATGACATGGTGGCCAGCAATGCTATCCTTTATGAGCCTGGCGAGCACCCTGACCATGTTGTTGTCATCAAGGTATACTTTTATTTCCATATCCATATGGTCTTTGTGATCTAGTTTGTGAAAAAGTTACCGATCATTTTAAGAAAAGGGCTTGATGAAAAATTTGGCAATGGATGCAGTATGTGCCTTATGTTGGGGATAGCAAGAGAGCTATGGATGAATACACATCAGAAATATTCATGGGTGGAAAGAGCACTATTGTGCTGCACAACACATGTGAAGATTCTCTTTTGGCAGCTCCAATCATCTTGGATTTGGTCCTCCTAGCTGAGCTCAGCTCTCGCATCCAGCTAAAAGCTGAAGGAGAGGTGAATTGAACTTTCTACCACGTTCAAAATCATCAGCAGCCCATCATTTCTTACTCTTTAACCTGTGTTGGTACCGATTGCGAATAACATAGCTGTTTTTGTTGTATAATGCAGGGGAAGTTCCACTCGTTCCACCCCGTGGCCACAATTCTTAGCTACCTCACCAAGGCTCCCCTTGTAAGTTATTTTGCCGGCCCCTTTTTATAACTCTGAAACTCACCAAAAGCAGCCTAGCTCTGCAACTATTTTAAAACACGACTCTTTTGTGGTAGTTCTACCTAATAATGGGGTGGTTGATATGTTGAACAAAAAACAGGTACCACCAGGGACACCAGTGGTGAATGCGCTATCAAAGCAGAGGGCGATGCTGGAGAACATAATGAGGGCTTGTGTTGGACTTGCACCAGAGAATAACATGATTTTGGAATACAAGTGAAAGATGCGAGGAATGCAAAAGAGAAGGATAATTCCTATTTCTGTTTCGATTTCATTTGTCTACTCCGTAATTTGTTATTTAGTTTCTTTTGTTTTCTCGGTGCCTAATATTTGATGAAACAATGTATCCACTTCTTGCGAAGATGTGATGTATTTAAGCATATTGTGTGAATGATTAACTTGTTATTGATGGTCATCGGATTTGTCTCCCTTATTTCAAAGCTTAAATTCTTCCTCTCTTGATGTAAATTTAAGAAAATAGTTGCTCTTCAATAGTTTTTTGAGGCGCAATACAGCATATGTAATTAGATGTTATGTGGTTGGAAGTTCTAATCACGACCGTTTAAAAACCTCAAAAGTAAAGTTTCTATCAGGAGTTTCATTAGGGTAAAATCAGCAAGTGAGACTGCTGAATTGAAGCGAACCCTTTTCAATTCAGAGCATCTGCATTGCATTGCAAATCAACATGAATGATCTGGTATTCTTGGGATGTTGTTATCTGGGCATGCTGAAACGCCTTTGGAAGTAAAACTCTTCTACCAATCATGTAAGGAGACAGTGCATAGATCTTGCATACTGACTAAGCATCAGGAAAAGGAACACCTAGTTGTCACTGCTTCATTCTGAAGTGGTGGCAGTGGATCCATAAAGGGGGTCCTATCGAGCAGATGGTCCATTTCCTTCTTCAATGAGGCACTGATAGCCTGAGAAAGTAGACAGCAATTTCTGCCAGAATCAGAAGAGGAATCTGTAATATAACACAATCTTCTGATATAAGACCTTTTGGATAATTCATCAAGTATGAAAAACTGAACAAAAGAGCTTATTTCGTATTGCTTCTTTGTTTGAGATGACAATCTTATACGCAATCCATGAAGAACATCTTCAAATACAGGGTTAGAAACGAAAATTGATTCATATGAAGTCCAATATAGTGAAACAGAGCGAATTAATCAAAATAAAAAGTACGTCCCTTAAAATGCTAATGATAAGAAAATATAGCATGATCATGGACAAGGATGGCACATAAAACAAGAAACAATTTGTCCACTGGTGAGTACATGCGAATTTGTGCACGCATAAATTTTCTAGAGAGTTCAAGACCTCAATGAATTATCACAAATTTAAATCTGGCTAACTACAAAAGGTAATACAATCCCCTCTCTTTTCTCTTCTTCTTTTATAAAAGCTTGATGAAGTACATAAATTATGCTCCCCTGGCTTCTTCTTCACCCAAGAGAAATTAAACTTCCCTTGCGAGTGATTATAGGTTCGAGCAAATGGTACAGACCACGTTTCTCCTTAGTAAAACCATAAATGTTATGTTTCTTAAGCTGATGATGATGGCTCTGAGCCCCAAGGTCCAACAAAGCCGACTCTTTGTCACCAACTTACAAGAACTGTACGAGAAGCGTACGTTAATATGAAGTGGCAAGAACATCGATCCGATTTGGTCTTCCAGATGATTTCGTCAGTCCCTTTGCGGGAACCTTTGACAAATGGGGAGTCGAGATTTGACATGACGGCTCATCTGGGGACCACAATCAATATATAATAGGGTTTCCAGTTCCACCCATCATAGAACATAAAACTAGGCCTTAAGGTTTCTACACAATACTGGGCCACACCTTAACTTAATTATTATAATAAGCCCAAACTTTAGTTGACTTAATTAGATCATTTTATGTGGGCTGCTATTTTATGATAGCCTGTAATTACAATTGTATATTTAAAGTATAAGTCCACATAAATCTTACAATCTCCTACTTGGACTATACATCAAATATATTCCTTACAATTGTATATTACACCGTAAACTTATAGCGCTCAAAATTTGCTATCATAAAAGAATCTTAAACAATCTCGTTCATTAATTACATTAACATAGGATCAAAGGGGCACTCGTTACACTAATCGCAACTAAACCCATCACTGGTCACGTACATTATCATAACTAAATGACATGGATCAAGTGTGGATGTGTAGCATGGAAATTACATGCAATGTGATTTTTAACATGACTATTTCCAACTGGTCCTCCTTATACTTTAGTGAGATCAACCAAAGTTTCAGAATGTAATCACACTGAAAAAAAAAAATCGAACCTTATACTGTAAACTTTACTTTAAACTTTAGACTTTATATTGCAGTATTAATATCTGAATGTACATAAATGTATGAACCCTTAATAAACTAAAATTACAAACTTCCACTAAATCGTCATATCATCAGAAGACTACACTCATTTGAGCAAAATGCTTAATAATGACCTTAAGTAAAGTAATCTGCGATATTGGAGTTTGTCCGAATAAGCTCCTCAAAAATATTTTCATTCTGAACTTGTACCTAACAATTAATAACTTATTGCCATTGTTATTAGAGTATTTAAATTGTTACCATATTGTCACTTTATAACTTTAGTAGTCTTTTGAGACTATACTATATTTGCAACCTTGCGACAATATAGGCAACTAAACAAAATCAAAGTCGGGATACTGAATGATCTCTAACTGGACCGAACTCCGATATGTGAGTGTGTAATCTTTAATGTCTTAATGATTCCGCATAACCTTATAGCTGCTACTAAATATCTAAATATGATTTTATAATTATCCGCCTTAAACTCCCACTGAAACTGTGATGTGTATAATCATCAGAAGATTCACCTCAAAACTAAATGAGATGAAAACTTAATGAAACTTGAGTTACTAAAAGGAAACTTATTTAAGTCAATAAATGGAATTCTTTGATTAGCAAACCATTAAACAAAGTTTTCCGATTGCACCAAATAGATTGTCTCAAAATGTCTCCATTAATAAACATTCTTTTAATACCCATCTAATGAAGACTAAAAACAGAATGTATCATATATGCCACTATAGTCTAAAAAAGAGTCTTTCAATAATACCAAAGTGAAAGCCTTTATATAATCATCTCATTGTTATAATTAACTTCTTTAATGATAAGATGAACTTAACCTTTTCATACCGTCTTGAATTCCTAGGTCTTAAATATCCTTATGAACAATGGATTTCATTCCTTCAGGCAATAAGACAAGATCCCAAATATCATCGTCTATCACTGATTTCATTTCCTCATTTTATGACATTAATCAATTTCAATGGCCAGACGGAAGTTGATTAAATTAACCAACCACCACTTCATTGTATTTCTCCTCTTTCTAGTGAGTTTTCTTAATGGCATATATTCTTGAGATTGTTGAGTTTGTTTTTTAAAATTGTCTTGACGAGGGAATGTTTATACACTGTCTTGAATAACCATACGGAGAAATAAAATTTCTCCTTCAAAGACAATGTCATTTATCTTCCCCTCCAAACTCAATATTCTCAAAGAACTAATATTCTCATCTAAAAGAAGGATTTACTTTGGGATCGTGAAGTTTGTATCCCTTAGACGTTTTATTGTATCCAACAAAATAGCAACACACCGAAACCAGTTTCGTTTCTGTGACCTATGCAGTCTTGTCTTAACCAGATAACTTAAAATATGGAAATGCATATAGCTAGCTTATTTGCATGTCCATAATTCACATGGATTGTTGCTTTAGTTGGGACATTGTTATATTTTTAAGTTGCAGTCTTTGATGTCTTTTTCTCTTAGTGAGTTTAACAAAGTAGTGGAACTTGTCATACTACTTAGTCAATTCTTTAGTTTCTGAATGCGTCTTATAAAGACACTATTATTAGTAGTACTTTCCAGCATAGTGTTACTATATGACGATACCATAGTCACTAAGAAATTTGACCAATGACCCTAGGCATAGTTCACCTAATCCTTAATTTGTTTGTAAAAATTTATTTATTCTTAAAACTTTGAACAAGTCTAGTCCTTAGTACTTCTCATTAATGGTAAAGAGGTAGCCCCAGGACATTGTTTATGAACATAATACAATATCCATATATATTAGTTCTAACAACATCAGAAAGCCTTATGGCATCCAATCTTATTTAGGTTGTTTGTTTCTTTTTTTCTTAGTACACCTAACGCAGATTTTTCTTAGAATCTGATAAGTAAAGTGATTTAAGAATTTCAGCTTTGTCTAAAGCAAGTGCCTTAAACAGTTTTACCAAACTGATACGAAATTCCCATTACCAAATTTTCTTTTGGTACCACATAAATTATCATGCAATGATTGGTTAATTGAAACACTGGTTTTACGTAAATAAAGGTTACCATGACTTAATAAAGAACTGAATTGACTTTCTTTGAATTTTGAAAGAGACTAACAGATTGTTACCAAAAAAATAAAGTAACCAGATTTTGTTCAATGTGGAAACATAAATTGAGTTCCACCTAAAAAGATGGAAGAATAAAAGTCTCTCTCTAGTCCAAATAAAATTTAGTCTTTAATGATAACCTAAAATTTTATTATTGCCTCAACCGTAATTAAATCACCAATGCTCCATATAGATGTGTCTTTCAACATCAACTGGCTTTTGGTGACTCAATAAACATTGCATAGATACACTTGTATGAGCATTGTTACCAGAATCCACCCACTAAGTATGTCTATAGGTACCAAAATCAAATGAACCTTAAAACAAACATTCTTAAAGTCAAGCAGAGAAGTACGATTACAAAATTAGCAACCAAATTTAATTCCTTACTTTGCTTCTCTTGTGATACTGTACACTGCAACTTAATTGTCCTTCTTTTCTTATTTCTTTATTTTCTTAAATTTTAGATATAAGTGAGAACTTATAATTATCTCTAAATTTAATCTCTCTACAAAGCAAACTTTTGGATCTTAGCATCCCCAAATTCTGTGTCAGTGAAAAAAAAAATGAAAACCATGAATTATCGCAAGGGTTTTTCTTTGTTTTCCTTGACAAGGTTGACAAGGAGAAGAAAGTTCACGTTATTGGGCCTTTTGCTCTCATAAGTCACAACCAGCATCTTTTCCCGCATCTTATTCAGACATCTTTTTTGAATATATGCAACGCATAAAAAAAACAGTCTTAATGTTTGAAAAGAAATGAAATCAAACGTAAAAGTAGAAAGTGATGAATAAATACTCAATTTCCGCCATGATGCGTAATTTATGAACAAAAGTTGGTATTTTCTGGGTGAGACGGGCAAAGGAACATATTTTTGTTTTGATATTCACCGACAAAAGTTATAAATAAAACCTATAAACTTTTACTTTCTCTCTGTTTCAAAATGATTGTCCAATTTAAATTTTTTACTTTTAATACATTTGAACTTTTACTTCCTCTCGTCACTGGCTTATCATCAGGAATTCAATCGCCATCATGATCACTAGTGGTTCTCTGCAAGAACTAAAAATGCACATTCCTCAATCAACTAATTAACGAAACAGGGAAATTTGAAACATACCCGCCGAAATGTCTCCAAGCTTGAACACATCTCCATACTTAAAATGCCCTGGTCCTCGTCTCCCTGTGGCTGTTCTTGACTCATCTTTAATTTACTCTTACCTTTCTGAACCCAACTAGTTAGGAATGCTCCAGAGACGTTATTATGATCAATTTTGGAAGCTTATTCTTATCCAAACCCTCCAATTAGGTTCCTAATATACTGAAAAATACCCTTGCTAGTAGTGGGATCAACTGTCAACATTATAGAAAAGTTGACGGAATAGTGAACTGGAACCAAAAACAAAAAAAGTATGAACTACAAGGTTGTGTACACTTAAATTTTAATTTTTGCGACCAAAATTTGAATTTAACCAAATATATAGGACCATTCTGGAGGTTTTACTCTATGGCTATATATCCTTAAGAAATGCATAAAAAAAGGTTTTCATTTGGATTCATATA